TGGGGGGGTGGGGGGGGGCCTTAGGGTGCGGGGATGGAGCCGGTGCCGGCGGTGAGGGGCCGGGATGGGACGCGGGCGGGATCGGCGATAGGGATGCGAGTCCTTCCCCAGCTGAAGAATTTCAAATATGCTGGGAAAACCGGCCCCAGCGCCTGCGCGGCTCCGCGTTGGGGCTACTGGGCCCAAACTGGGGCTTTACTGGTGGTTCACGACCACCAACCCATAGGGAAACCGAGCCAGCGCGTGGTAGGGTTGGGGACATAGGGACACAGGGACATGGGGGAAGACAGTGAGACTTTTTCCCATCGGAAATGCCATTGGGACGGCTCGGAAAATCCCAGGGGACACACAGGAGCACCGCGTGCCGTGCCACCCCCACCCCGCCAGACAGCCCCGACACCACTGCCACCGTCCCCCCACCGCGCCGGGCGGCCGTCCCCGTCCTGCCACCCGTCCCCGTGGGGCAGCGGGGATGGCGGTAGGGCTGGGTAATTAGCAGGCGGGCAGGGATTTAATTGATTATCAATTCCCTGAGAGCAGGGAGCGGGTTCGATCGAACCGTCGCCCTCCTGCCGCCGTGTCCCCTGCGGGGAGCGAGGACGGGTGACATTGCGTGGGGCTGGGGGTCACGGCGCCTGGACGCCGGGCAGCGCCGGCGGGGAGACTTGTCCCCATCCCCTTTGCAGTGTCACCGGCCCCGGGTGAGACCCGGCACCGTCCCCATCCCGGTCTCCTCGGCGGTGTCACAGCCCCTGGGGACATCCGACCCCAACCCCACTGTGTCACAGCCCCCTGGGTAGGATGTGACCCCTGTAGGACCTGACCCTGGTGTCACAGCCCCTGGGGACAACTGACCCCGTCTCCACGGCGTCACGGACCCCAGGGACACCTGACCCAGTCCCCACAGCGCCACAGCCCTCAGGGACAACTGTCCCCATCCCCACAGTGTCACAAACCCAGGGACACCCACCTCATCCCCATGGTGTCACACCCCCTGGGGACAACTGTCCCCATCCCCATGGTGTCACGGACCCCAGGGACACCCAAACCCATCCCCACAGTGTCTCACCCCTGGGGACAACTGTCCCCATCCCCATGGTGTCACGGACCCCAGGGACACCCAAACCCATCCCCACAGTGTCACAGCCCCCCAGGGACATGTCCCCAGGGGCACAGACGCATTCACCTCCCCGGTGACGGTCACAGCCACGCAGCGTCGGGATACCCAACCATGGGGACGGGTCCGTGCCTCAGTTTCCCCACCTGCCCAAGGAGCAAACAGCACCGCTCCTTTATTCATTTTTTTTTTTTTTAAGCTATTTCTCTTAAAAATAAGCCTCTGAGAGCCGGTGACGCCGGCGGCACAACCGCGGGCAAACGCCAAAAGCCACCCAGAGGTTCGGTGTCACCGAGTTCACGCCGAAGAGCGGGATGGGGGGGATTTTTCCCCCAAAAAAAGAGGGAACCAGGGACACCCAAACCCATCCCCACAGTGTCACAGTCCCCCAGGGACATGTCCCCAGGGGCACAGACGCATTCACCTCCCCGGTGACGGTCACAGCCACGCAGCGTCGGGATACCCAACCATGGGGACGGGTCCGTGCCTCAGTTTCCCCACCTGCCCAAGGAGCAAACAGCACCGCTCCTTTATTCATTTTTTTTTTTTTT